CATCCATCCATCTATCTACCCATCATCCATCCACCCACCCATTCATCCAGCCAGCCAGCCATTCACCATCATCCACCCATCAGCCATCAGCTATCCATCAATTTCTCTGTCCATCCATCCATCCATCCATCCATCCAAATAAACATATATATGTTCTTCTATCCATCCATCCATCCACCCATCCGCCCATGTTGTATCCACCATCCATCCACCTATTCAGTTGTTCCTACTTCCTACCTTTCTTCACCTACTTTTCCTTGTTTTATTTTTATTTTTGGGGGGGGTATGGGGGGATGATTGACCCTGAGCTGACATCTGTTGCCAGTCTTCCTCTTTTTCTTTTTTCTCCCCCAAGCCCCAGTACACACTTTCATATCCTAGTTGTAGGTCCTTCTAATTCCTCTATTTGGAACGCCGCCTCAGCATGGCTTGATGAGCAGTGAGTAGGTCAGCACCCAGGATCTGAACCGGCTAACCCTGGGCCGCCAAGGTGGAATCGTGAACTTAACCACTACGCCACTGGGCGGGCCCCTACCTTTCCTTTCATTCATCCATTTCACTCATTCATTCATTTAATTAATTAATTAATTCCGCTCTCCATCATTGAGTTTTTTTATTTTCTTTCTTCTACGACTAACACGTGGTTCATAAGATTGTGGCCCAAGAAGATAAGAGAGCAGATCCTCGTGACCCAGTAGGCTCAGTGCTCTAAGAGATCCTAAATAGGAGCTGGAGAAGTATAGTTCTGTCCTCTTGTTCAAACATTCTCATCACCACAACAACACACACACACACACACATACACACACACACACACACAAATACGTGCTCACAGCAGAATCCAATGAAAGGTGCAATGAGCAGTGAGAGGTCACAGGGGGAGAGGACATCAGGGCTGGTGGCCTCAGCGCCTCTGGGTGACTCCAGGTAGAGAAATGTCTCTGACTTACAGAGGAGGCAGCCTCCAAGTGCTCTGAGCACTCATCTATCTTGCATGTGGCTCAGTCCAGCAAAGAGAGAGGGCCCGGGTGGTGGGGGTAGTGATGAAGCTGGGACTTGGGTTGTGGTGGGGACCAGGAGAAAGACTGAAGGCTTCTTTCTAGATTCCTCTGGAATCAGTGGGCTATATCCTTCTGTCCCAAGTCTCATTTCTTTTTTGAGGGGGGGTACCTGGGAGAGGAGGAGGAGGCAGCCTTGAGTTACCTCAGAAGCGACACCATCGAACAGCAGGTTGCATCTAGGAAGGAGGGGCGCAGACACAGGTGGAGTGAGGGGGACTGTGTTCCCCCCCCGTAGCAGGAAGGAGCAGCGCCTGAGATCCAAACTGCCAAGGCTGGAGCAGGGCAGCCACCCTCTCCCGTCCTCACTCACAGCCCCTGTGGCAGCTGGAGAAGCCAAGGCTCTGGGAGGGGAAGGGGGCGACTGTTACTCTCATCCCCCACCCCCCACTGGCTGTCCCTGCTGCCCTCTGCATGCCCCCCACAGAGCTGCCCTTTCTCCAGGCTCTCGGCCAGAGGCCTGAGGTCCTCCTTCTCCTGCAGGGGGAGGTGAGTGCATTGGAGGGGGGCACAGACATTCCCTGGGTTTCCAGACAGCCCCTCCCTGCCAGCCAGTGGGACCAGACAGTGCTTCCTCCCCGACCCCACCAACTCCCAATGTGCCAGCTTGCAGGCAGTTAGTGATGGAGTTTGGACAGGACTGGCCTGGCCCCAGGAAAGGGCCGGGGGCTTTCCTCCTCCCGCCTCTTATCTGTCTGTGTCTGGCACCACATGGCTCTGCTGGCCAGGCAGGGTTAGGAGCCTGATTTCCTCAATCTCCTAACCTTCCACGAACCCCACACCTCACACAGGTCCCCCACCCCCTCTCTCCAGGCTCCTGGGTGTTGGGGAGGGCCCGGGGCCTGGGCCGGCTCCTTGCGCCTGGATTCCCCTTTGGCTGGGCTGCCCCTGGCCATGTTCTCCTAGTCTGGGTTTTCACCTCCAAGCCCCGAGTCATCCTGGGCAGAGAGGGCCTGATTCCATCTGCCTCAGGGCACTGAGGGTTAGGAGAGGTCCGGGAACTCCCCTTGCTGGTTGCCTTGTGGCGCGGGCCCCCAGTCTCCAAGAAGGCCATTAGAAGTCCCCAGAAGGGGGATTCCCTGATGCAAAAGGGCTGGGGGCTGGGAATTGGGTGGGGCTGGGCTGAGAGAGAAGCTGAGGGTTCCTTTCTAGACACCTCTGGAAAGAACCAGCTCGTTCTGGAAGGGCCAAGTCCCATTTCCGCTTTTTGGGGAGGTCCCTGGGGTGTCTTCTGAGCTATGCCTTATTCTCTGTGGGCCTCAGGAAGCGCAGCCCTTGCCCCCACAAGAACCTTCGGGTGCAGACCAATTGGCAGCACAGCATGGGGTTATCAAGCGCCTAGGAGGGGCAGCCCAGCCACCCTTGGGTCCCCCCAAGGCCTTGCCAGGACCCCAGCACCCCAAACTTGAACTTGAGTCCACAGGGGGCACGGGCTCCCCAAAAAGCGTCTCTGCAGGGAAGCAGTGTTAGGAAGCACACGCTCCAAGCCAGGGCAGCCAGTGCCCCTCCACGCCTGGCTCCGGGCTGCTCCTGACAGCTGCCCTCAGGCAGAACATCCAGCTCTTTTAAGCCTCAGTTTCTCCCTATGAGATGGGAGGTCTCGGAACCCACCTCACTGGGGCAGGTACAACAAGATCCTTGGTGTGAAGGGTTTGGTGAAGGCCCACGCGGTGGAGTGATGTGTAGTCAGAGTAGATATGACTTCAACCGTGCAGATTGGGGAAACTGAGGACTCAAGGGGCAGGGCTTACCCCAGAAAGTACTAGCCTGGGTGTCAGCAGCTGATGCCAGACGTGTCCCCCCCAAGGGCTCTGTGCCCAGTTGTCTTCCTCCCCCCACACTCAGAACTCAGAGCCCAGGAGAGCGAAGCGGATGCTCACGGCCCCCCTCCTGCTGACCAGGACTCCAAGGGGCCTCTTCCTGCTGCCAGGACCCTCATCTTCCTGACATTCTGGCACTCTCTGAGGGAAACTGAGGCAGAGACAGGTGGAGGGGTGGTTGTGGAGGGGAGGGCAGCCGCTGCAGCAGCCCACGGTGCCACCCGGCAGAGGCCTGCCTTGTTCTGGTCCCCGAGACCCTCCTGGCTCTGCCCCGTGGGGCTCCAGGATTGTTTGGTGAGGAGGCAGATGGGGATTAGGAAGGAAGTGGGGATGAGGGGAAGGATTTCCAGCTTCCCTAATCAGCAGGGGTGGGGGCCCGTGACACCCCGAGTGTATGTGAGGCATCCTCTCTCTCTTCCCCCGACAAGGAGGGACCATGAGAGGGTCCAGATGGAAGGCGGGAGGAAGCAGGCGACCTCAGCCAGCCCCAGCCAAGAGGAAGGCATCCATCATCTGAGCTGAGCTCAGCCTCTCCCTCCCCTGGGACATTTCCTGGCGCCCGAGACCCCTGACCTGGGGGGAGGAGGAGAGGAGGCCCCAGGGGGCTCCTGAGGCCTGACTGAGCTCTGACTGCCGCCTTCAGGTCTGGACCCTGGGCACGTCCCCCTAGTTCCTCCACCCTAGCAGCCTGCTGCCGGCTGCCCCGGCCAGGGCCTGACTCTGCCGGCCCCACCCTCCCTCCTGAGTGGCCTCTGGCATTGCCTGCCGCTCTGGGGCCGAGTGCCCTGGCTGTACCAGGTGGAGTCTGGCTCTGCTGGGAGGGCAAGTGGGCAGGAAGGCCACCCAGGAACCTCGCTGCATGTGGGGTTCCCACCCGGAGGGTCCGCCTCTCCCAGGCACACAGGCTCCTCCCACCCTTGGCTCCCTCAGGGGGCCGCGGCCTGCAGGCTGGCTCAGCCCTTCCTCCAGCTGCCAGCCACCCACAGCCCTGCAGGTACCTGTGGCCTCTCTCCTGAAGACCCTGGAGCCCAGATGGCAAGGCCAAAAGTCTGCAGGGGCAGATGGCCAGAAAGAGACCCTGCCCAGGGTGGTCCCACAGGTGGTCCCTGCCTTTCTCCTCTCTCAGCTGGGCACATGGAGAAGCGGTTGAGGCAGCGTCCATGAATCTCCTATGACCAGGGCCATGCCCTGCCTAGCAGGCAACAGCAGGGGTTAGAGGCAGAGGAGGCAGGGAGACCACTGATCACTCTACTCCTGCCCCAGTCAGCATCATCCAGGGCCAGAGTAACCAAGCTTGTCCTGGGGGGGAGGGCAGGACCAGGACTCTGGG